CAGGCAGTGGCTAAACAGGACAGGCAGCAGCGGCAAAAGCACCCGGCAGGCCAGATAAACGTCCTGGGTGGGCAGCATGTGGCCCGCGGACCAGGTGTAGTTTGAGGACGCCTGCTGGAGGAACTGAATGCTCTGTCCTCACGCAGAAGAAGGGATTAAAGGGGAGAGAAGGAAAAATGGCCAGCTCCCTACAGCCTCTCTTATTGGAGAGCTAATCCACTCATGATGATGGAGCCTCACAACCTAATCACTTCCCTAAAGACCCCACCTTTTTATTCCACACAGTGAAGATTAAGTTTCAATTTTGGGGGGAACACATGCCAACCACAGCACTAACTTTTTTAACGCAGGCAAGTCACTTAACCTTTCTAAGCCTCAGTTTTCTTTTTTGTAAAATAGGGGTTTTCTTTTTTGTAAAATAGTACTTACTTTGAAGAGCTGTTGCAATAATTACATGAGATAGCACATACAAAGCCCTCAGGACTGTGTTTGACTGTGGTAAATGTGAAAGCAATGTTTATTATTATTTATAAAGGATCTTTCCAAAGTCGTTGTCGCTATTTAGCTACATTGCAAATTAGGAAAAGACCATCAAATCTAAGATAGCACCATCTGTAAAACACTGGGCTCTATTATGCATTAAATACATTTGATGGGATACCATGCAGTCTCGAACATGGTACAGTCACAACCAAGAAGCATTTACCATGCAGTGGTGAGAAAACACTTTAGAATCTTCAGCAACCCGTCTACAAACTGACACTTTCAAATAATCATGCATCTTAATGAAGGGGATACATTCTGAGAAATGTGTCCTCAGGAGATTTTGCCGTTGCATGTGCGTCTCAGAGTATACACACACAAACCCAGATGGGATCACCCACTGCACACCTAGGCTGTGTGGGATGCTCTATTGCTCCGAGGCTTCAATCCCATACAGCACGTGACTCTACTGAATACGGTGGGCATTATAGCACAATGGAAGTATCTGTGTATCTAAACATATCTAAACAGAAAAAAATACTGTAAAAAATATGATACAATTTTATGAGACCACTATCCTACATGTAGGGTCTATCACTGACCAAAATGCCATTATGTGGCACATGACTGTGCTTCCTTTGGAAAGAAACTGCCTATAGTCAATTTTAATTAAAACTGAATCTTCAACTGAGAGGGCTTGTCTTTTCATCTCCAGGCTAGTGATGTTTGCTGCCAACAGTGCCTTGGCCATGGTGCTACCCAGTGAGAAGGCCGGAGTGATGTGCATTTCCCCAGTCCCTACCCCTTGCCTCTCATAGACAACTTTTCCAGCTTTTTTTTAACATCATAGTTCTTCCCTCTCCTCACCCACTGTGGGTGGGGGTCAAAATTGAACACAACATCCCTAGTAAACACTGTGAAGCTCCAAGCTATTTTTGCATTTCAAGTTTAAAAATCTTGGGAGTTAACGGCGGTGAAATGGATTTGCAAATTAGAATCAGGAAACTAAAATTCAGAACATGTGCCCCAAGGACACATGAAAAAGTGGTTTTTAAGTGCTATCTTGAGTACTTCTTAATCTTCAGCAATTATTGTTCATGGAATCACTATGATAATAGCATGCTGATAGTCATCATAGCTACCATTACTGTAATCCTCCACTTAGGAACTACTTGAACAAGAAGTCAAGTGTGATTAGGAAAGTCTCCCTAAACCCAGATGACCTGCAAATCTGCATCCAACCCACCTTCTACAGAAAAGAAATAACCTATGAAAGTCACACTGAAAAACTTAGTTAAATACAT